AATAATATTATATAGATTTTTATTATTCATGCAATATTAATCATTTAATTTATGAATATTAAGTTTGGCAGCTAAATGAAAACTATTAATATTTTGTGTAGACCTGTATAAAGTGACACTGGTTCTGGAAATCTACATTTTGTTCGACCGAAAAACAATAATTCATTGTATTTATTGTAATTAGTGTTTAATTATTTATTTTTTTATTGTAGAATATATCATTATTTCTTTACTATTAGTGATATAATTACTAACATAAGTAGAAATTGAATTTTAAATTCTATATTCTTATATTCCTTTATATTATAATGAATAGTAAAAATGCAGAAAACTTGATCCAGAAACTAATATTATCCATTTTTTGGATTATTATTATAGTTTTGATTAATATTAGAAAAAAAACTGTATAAAAACAGTATTAATATTAGGCATAATTCATCATAATTATAAAAAAAAATCTGTATTAAACGTTGTATGAATATTTATTTTGAATAAAATTTGCTATTACTGATCAAAAAAATAATAATCTATTATTTAATCTACTAATTATTTATATAATTAGTTATTATTCGATGACACAGTGACGTAGTGGGTAGCGCTGTCACCTCACAGCAAGAAAGCCCCGGCTGGGTCAGTTGGCATTTCTGTGAGGAGTTTGCATGTTCTCCCCGTGGATGTTGTTTTAGCCACTTAAAATATGCTAATTTATAGGTTAATTAATTTATTTTTAAAAAATTAAATATGTTCAAATTTAAAAAGCATTAAAGCTAATAAAATATGCATTTATTTATTTATTTATTTATTTATTTATTTATGACAACATTCATTTTCAACATTTAAACTAAATGTAATATTCTGAACCTAAATAAAATGTTCAATTTTATTGTACTCTTGCTGAAAGCAAATAAAAGCTGAAATAAAATAAATAATAAAACCTAAATATCAATTAACATAAATGAAAAAATTATTAATTAATTATAATAATAATAATATAGTTGTTTTATATTCAGATCATACTACACAAAACTATTATAATTTAAATAGAAATAAATTATAAGTATTATAAATAATTAAATATTAGTTGAAAATCTTAGAACCTAATGATCTAAGCCTAAGTAGTAATAAAAGCAGAAAACAATCCCCAATAAAAATCACAAAAACATAATTAATAAATACATAAAAATTTTATTATTTTTAAAGAAATGATGTTTACACAACCATAAAGTACCCCTGTCTCCAAGCAATGCACTATCTTTATCTAATTATTGCTTATTATTGAGTTATAGGAAAAGACTTTCTCAGAAGTCAGATAATTGATTGTATTCATAATGATGTCCATGCATTATTCATGACAGGAAATCCTGCACTACCAAATCCATCAGGCAGGCAGGAGGACAGACTCCGCCCACTGCAGTCCGTCTGGCCAATGAGAGTGCAGCTGAGAGTGTAGAGGTGATGATGCCCATGATGAGAGATCATTTCATCGATGCAAAGGTGCGTTCACAATCACATGACTTTATGCCTGTAAATATGCTTTGTGTGTACAATTTTCTGACAAATACTGTATATTACATTATTTCAGGGTGGAACAAATCTGATCATTAACAGTTATGGGCCCGTGAAGCCTACCATTGAGAAGAAGAGAAGAAAGAGATGGAGTTTCTTTAAGAAAAATGAAAAGGTACGAAACTGCAAGCTTTACAATGAGCTTTATTAAAGTAACTATCATTATTAACACATTTATTAGCATGAATCTGTTATTAAGATCAACAGAAATGTAAACTGTCTAATGAAACACTGCAAATGGGGCCTAATTTTTTAAACCATACAGTGAAATATATTATGTTCAGAACATTATTATTGTAAAAAAAATCTTTATTATTATTCATTTTAATATGCATACGTTTGCATATGTTTAAATATTCTAATTAATAATTCATGAATCTGTTATTAAGGTCGACAGATATGTAAATTGTTTTGTTAAACACTGCAAATATTGCCTCGAATAACAATTTTTCCATCCATACAGTGAAATATATAAAGTTCTGAACATTATTATAGTACAAATCTTCATTATTATTCATTTAAATATGCATGCATTTAAATATGCATAAATATTATATTTATAAAGCATGAATCTGTTATTGAGATCCACAGAAATTAAAATTTTCTTAAAAAACACAGCAAATATTGCCTTTAATAACAATATTTTAAACTATACAGGGACATTTTTTAGATTTAGAACTTTATTATTTTAAAACACTTTATTATTGTTCATTTAAATATGCATTAATATTATAATTATTTTTTAAAAATGTAAGATTATAAAGCATGAATGTGTTATTAAGATCTACAGAAATATAAAATGTCTATTAAACTCTACAAATATTGCCTTTAATAACAATATTTTAAACAAAACAGTGAAATATATTATGTTTTGAACATTACTAATGTAAAACTCTATTCATTTAATTATGCATAAATTTAAATATGTATAAATATTATACTTTTTTATACAAATATTATAATTAATAAAGCATGAATTTGTTATTGACATCCACTTAAATGTAAATGGTCTAAAAAACACTGCTAATATACAGTGAAATGTGTTATTGTTCATTGTATTTTGCATAAATTTAAATATGTATAATATTATAATTGTTTTTATAAAATATTATAAAGCATGAATCTGTTATTAAGATCCACAGAATTATAAAATGCCGAAAATTGCTTTTAAAAACAATATTTTAAACCATACAGTAAGATATATAATGTTTAGAACATTATTATAGTACAAATCTTTATTATTATTCTTTTAAATATGTACATATATAAATATGTATAATATTATAATTAAATTAAATACTGCATGTATAAATAAAATGTTCACATTAAGTATACATCTGGGTTATTAATGTAAGCTAAAAGTAATAAACCAAAATATTTCCATTTATATATTTACGTATAATTGCTATTAGATAAATATAAATATACATTTACTCAAAAAAAAATAAATAAAAAATAAATATATATATATATATATATATATATAGTTGAAGTCAGAATTATAACCCCTTGAATTATTTGCCCCCCTGTTTATTTTTCCCCCAATTTCTGTTTAACAGAGAGCAGATTTCTTCAGCACATTTCTAATCATAATAGTTTTAATAACTCATTTCTAATAACTGATTTATCTTTGCCATGATGACAGTAAATAATATTTGACTAGGTATATTTCAAGACACTTTTATATAGCTTAAAGTGACATTTAAAGGCTTAACCAGGTAAATTAGGGTAACTAGGCAGGTTAGGGTAATTAGGCAAGTTACAGTATAATGATGGTTTGTTCTGAAGACAGTCAGGAATAAAAATTAGCTTAAAGGGGCTAATAATATTGTCCTTGAAATGGTTCATAAAAAAATTAAAACTGCTTTTATTCTAGCCGAAATAAAACAAATAAGACTTTCTCCAGAAGCAAAATTATTATCAGACATACTGTGAACATTTCCCTGCTCTGTTAAACATCATTTGGGAAATATTTAAAAAAAGGAGAAAAAAAATCAAAGGTGGGCCAATAAATCTGTCTTCAACTGTGTGTGTATATATTGTGTGTGTATATATATATATATATATATATATATATATATATATATATATATATATATATAACTGTATATGTATATATTGCTAATTAATTAATCACTTGACAGCATGAAAGCATTAGACAGTATTAATAAAAGGTATTGACCCCTTTTGCATAAGAAGTATATCACGCAAAAGTCACGCAAAAATCTATGAAAAATCCTAAATAAAAATAAAAATCCAAAATATGTTTTGCCATAATTTAAGTGTGTGTTCTCTGTATATTCTTATGTAAATACAAATACACACATGCATGCAAATATTATTATATTATTTTGCCAGGCAAAAATAATAAACAAACTTCTAAAATACTTTATTTAAAACCCCGTTTATAAGCGAGACACCTCTTACTGATGTTTTTCTGCTTTTATTAGGAGGTGAAGAAAGTCTCCAGTCCAGCATATTCCTATCATCCTGGCACCACCCTGCTGTGCTACACAGAAACGTCTCCAGAAAACCCACCGACAACTCTGCAGGGTCTGTTTGGGCCATCAGGTGGCGACAGCGAGGGCTCGCATTCCAGCGAGGGCAGCCATGAAACCAGCGACTCGGGACGATACTCTCATGACGATACAGAAGCAACAAACGTGTCTATCAGAAGTCGCCCTGCTTCCCTACAGGACGATGGGAACCAAACGCCTGTTCACGAAAAACAGCTAGAAACTACACTTCAGGAACAGGAAATGACAGATCTACATCCTGTTTAACCAAAAAACTACAAGATCTACATCCTGTTTAACCAAAAAGCTACAAGATCTACATCCTGTTTAACCAAAAAACTACAAGATCTACATCCTGTTTAACCAAAAAAACTACAAGATCTACATCCTGTTTAACCAAAAAACTACAAGATCTACATCCTGTTTAACCAAAAAAACTACAAGATCTACATCCTGTTTAACCAAAAAACTACAAGATCTACATCCTGTTTAACCAAAAAACTACAAGATCTACATCCTGTTTAACGAAAAACTACAAGATCTACATCCTGTTTAACCAAAAAAACTACAAGATCTACATCCTGTTTAACGAAAAACTACAAGATCTACATCCTGTTTAACCAAAAACTACAAAAACTACATCCTGTGTAACCAAAAAACTACAAGATCTACATCCTGTTTAACCAAAAAACTACAAGATCTACATCCTGTTTAACCAAAAAACTACAAGATCTACATCCTGTTTAACCAAAAAACTACAAAATCTACATCCTGTTTAACCAAAAAGCTACAAGATCTACATCCTGTTTAACCAAAAAGCTACAAGATCTACATCCTGTTTAACCAAAAAACTACAAGATCTACATCCTGTTTAACCACAAAACTACAAGATCTACATCCTGTTTAACCACAAAACTACAAGATCTACATCCTGTTTAACCAAAAAAACTACAAGATCTACATCCTGTTTAACGAAAAACTACAAGATCTACATCCTGTTTAACCAAAAAACTACAAAATCTACATCCTGTTTAACCAAAAAACTACAAGAGCTACATCCTATTTAATGAAATACTACAAGGTCTACATCCTGTTTAACCAACAAACTACAAGATCTAGATCCTGTTTAACGAAAAACTACAAAATCTACATCCTGTTTAACCAAAAAACTACAAGATCTACATCCTGTTTAACCAAAAACTACAAGATCTACATCCTGTTTAACCAAAAACTACAAGATCTACATCCTGTTTAACCAAAAACTACAAGATCTACATCCTGTTTAACCAAAAAAACTACAAGATCTACATCCTGTTTAACCAAAAAACTACAAGATCTACACCTTGTTTAACTGAAAAACTCCAAGATCTACATCCTGTTTAACCACAAAACTACAAGATCTACATCCTGTTTAACCACAAAACTACACGATCTACATCCTGTTCAACCAAACAACTACAAGATCTACATCCTGTTTAACGGAAATCTACAAGATCTACATCATGTTAAGCAAAAAAAAAAAAAAAAAACTGCAGGCAACCAAACGCCTGTTAACGAAAAACCGCTAGAAACTACACTTCAGGAACAGGAAATGACTGATCTACCTCCTGTTTAACCAAAAAACTACAAGTTGTCTCTAGCGCCCCCGAATGGACTACTGCAGAAAATGCTCAGTGTTGGATGAGCCGAGACGTCCACACACCACCTGCTTTTTCTCGGTGAATGTATTACTCGTTTCTCTCTCATTTTTATATGTAAGAAAGTAAGAAACTAGAACCTCACCCACCATGAATGTGTTAAGAAAAGCGAATGTCACGTATTTTTGACGTGAGCTCGGCGAGAGAGCCTCTCTTGTCTTCCTGATCTACCTCAGTTTGTCTACTAAATATTTAAACTACGCTCATTCACTCGACAGCGTTATTTAGTTTTTGCTTAGAGTTTATTTGTTATGTTTGCTTGTTTGTTTGTTTACTTCTGAAGTTGGCGAAGGTTTTTATATACATCCTAACCAGTGTGATGCAATGGTAACACTTCGGTTCTGTTAGTTACACTCTACAGTTAGCTACATTAGAAATGCTGGGATCTCGTAACCCAACATTGGGTCAAATCGTATATTTGTTATTTGGTCAATTAAATTTAAATTAAATTGTCTGAGCCAACAAAATGTAGTTTGTACATATTTGATACAATGTTGGGTTAAATATTATACATACTAAACATTAGTCCATTTAAATGTTGACAAATGCATTATTTAAAATCCATTTTTAAATATTATGAGGTCAAATAGAAGATTAAATTGAATTTAAATGGTAATTTCATTCAATTAAATTTAAATGACACTTTTAAACCCAACAAAATTTGGTTTGTCCATATTTGACCCAACATTTTTTTTGCCTTTATTTTTACATACTAAACATTGGTCAATTTAAATGTTGACAAATACATTATTAAAGTAAATTTTTTTAGATATTTTGTGATCAAATAGAAATTTTAATTTAATTTTAATGGTAATTTCATTCAATTAAATTTAAATTACACTGTTACAGCCAACAGAATTTGCTTTGTCCAAATTTGACCCAATGATGGGTTAAATTTTTATAATTTATTTATACAAACTAATCATTAGTTCTTTAAATGTTGACAAATTTAAATATTTTTAAATATAATGTGATCAAATAGAAATTAATATTTTATTTTAATTGTAATTTTTCCTTTTCAATTTAATTTAATCGACAATATTTAATCCAACAAAAAAATGTTTGTACGTGTTTGACCTAATGTTGTCTGGCAATTTTGAGCATTAACTTATACATACTAAACATTAGTCCATTTAAATGTTGACAGATACATTATTAAAAATCCATTTTGAAATATTGTGAGATCAAATAGAAGATTAAATTGAATTTGAATGTTCATTTCTTTCAATTAAATTTAAATGACACTTTCAAACCCAACAAAACTAGCTTTGTTCATATTTGACCCAACATTTTTTTGCATTTATTTATACACATATACATTATATAAAATCACTAAACATTAGTCCATTTAAATGTTGACAAATACACATTTAAAAATACATTTTTAAATATTATGTGATCAAATACAAATTAAAATGGAATTTTTATTATAATTTCTTTCAATTAAATTTAAATGACACTTTTAAACCCAACAAAATTTGCTTTGCCCATATTTGACCCAATGTTGGGTTAAAAGAATGCAACAATTGAGCATTTATTTATACACACTAAACATTAGCCTATTTTAATATTGACAAACACATTATTAAAATACTTTTTTTAACATTATGTGATCAAATAGAAATTTTAATTGAATTTTAATGGTAATTTCATTTAAATTCAATTTAAATGACACTTTTAAGCCCAAACTAAATTTGCTTTGTCCATATTTGACCCAGCATTTATTTACACAAACTAAACATTAGTCCATATAAATGTTGACAAATACATAATTAAAAAATCCATATTAATTATCATGTGCTGAATCTGAGCTAACATGAGAAATATGATGCAATAGTAAGGAATAAGCTTTGTTAGTTTTGTTAATTTTTAAGATAAAAATAATAATATGGTATCTTTATATTATCTAAATCAATCTATCAACATGATTTAATTAACCCGAGTAAACATATAATATTTATTAATGCCTATATAATCAAATCATATTAACAGATTGATTTAAATAATGTAAAGAGACACAATATTATCAGTTTTATTTAATAAAATTAACAAAATAAAGTGTGTAGTTGGGAATAAAATATGCAAAGTTTATATTCTATCGCTCATTGTTAATTAATTAATATATTTAATTTTCTTAATTATAGAATAGTACTGATTTCCAACGGAATCAATTTCAGCCAATCAGAACATACTTAGTGTTTAATATGCATAACTTTGAACCAATAGAATTCAAGTGTGGGCGGAGCAGTTTCATTGCATCACATGGTCAGGATAGTAGCTGACCTCAGCTTCAGAAAGGTTTACGTGTGAATATGAGTACGAGATTTCTCAGGTCAGCATGAATGTGTGTGTGTGTGTGTGTGTGTGTGTGTGTGTGTTTTTGCTCTTATATAGTCCCTGTTTTATACTACCTCGTTTTACCTTTTGATTTGTAGCCGTAGAAGTGTTTTTTTTCTTCATCTCAGGGAATCAAGTGAACGGCCATGTGTGTGTTTTTTTTGTACATGGTTTATGGACAGGGTATCTTCCTCAAGCCGTACTGAATGTGTTGATTTTCATTATTTCTTCGTCATTTATTTAGTCCCGTCCTGTCGTCTTTCGAGTCTGAAGTAACCAAGAATGCTGTTTCTGAGTTCAGCAAAAACCTGATAGCTTTAAATAATGGCCTTAGTGTGCGCAGATTGATTGCAGTCCGAATGAATGTCCGAAAATGAATCCAAATGCCTCAAAAGATATCTATTTTTCTTGACAATACTATGGTATATGTACTACTGAGTACGCGTTTTAGTTCCTGTAGTGCTTTTTGAAAGGTTAGCTTTAGAGATATGAGTGTAGCACTTGTCTTTCAGATTAGTTTTGTAGTTTGTTGTGCAACGGAAACACGCCATCATTCATTCACTCATTCGGCTGTTTGCTTGTTCATTTATTTTCTCGTTCGCCGGGCTTCTGGGATGATAAGACGACAATGAGATTATCCTTGAATCAAACCAAAGATAGAGTTCACTCGGAGGCCGGCGGACGCTCATTTCGGTTTTCTATATTAAAAGAGCTGCTTTAATAAACTCAGACCAAATAAGGTGGAAATGCAGACGTTAGAAATCTCAAATTTCACTCCCAAATCAACAGAGTAATATGACATTATGAATGAATAATACTTTAAAAGGGGACCTATTATGACATTTTAGAGATAAAATAGGTCTCTAGAGTGTGTATGCAAGTATCAGCTCATAAAACCACACAAACAATGCTTTATAGCAGTGTTTCTCAACCACGTTCCTTGAGGACCACCAGCACTGCATGTTTTTGGAGGTCTCATTTGTCTGTCACTCCCATTTCAGGTCTTTCAGTCTCTGCTAATGAGCTGATGATCTGAATCAGGGGTGTTTGGTCAGGGAGACATGCAAAATGTGCAGAGCTGGTGGTCCTCCAGTAACGTGGTTGAGAAACACCGCTTTATAAATGCTTTACAACGCTTTGATGCTAATTGTGGCATTTTGGTGACTGTCGCTTTAAATTCAAATGAGATTTGAAAAGAGGGCGGAGCTACAAATGTCTGTGTGTCAGCATAGTGGCAGATTCAAAAACAAGACCAACATTATATGCTAATGATGACACTAGTGGGCGGAGAGTTCCCGCTCTGATGGCATATACAAAGGGAGAATGTCAATCAAAGTGTTTCTCCAGACTGTTTTCATCAAGTCTGATTATAAATAAATATAATTAATGCATTTTTACCATTAGAAGCAGCTTATATTCACAGAATGTTTTCACACAACTGTGTTTAAACCTCTTATGAAAGTGATTTATGCATAATAGGTCCCCTTTAATA